GCAGTTGTGAGTTCTGCATCCGGGCCGTGGCCGGCGGCCACCGGCCGGGGTGTGCCCTGGCCATAGCCGCTCCCCGGAACAAGCAGGTACTCTGCTGTTGTGAGGTCGTCCCGGGATACGAGCGGCAAGTTCTCCTGTGTTTAGGGCAGGCGTGCGTTGCTCATGTCTTGGATTGTGTATGTGTGGACCATAGACACGATAAGAGAGGGGTTGTGTGGATGTGAACATGTGCGTGCGCACCAGGGTTGCGTATTCGCATGGTGTGTGTGTGTGTGTGTGTGTGTGTGTGCACGCGCGCACGTTCAAAAACATGTATGCGTGTGTACATGCTTGCACGTGGCTCCTGGAGGCATCTGGCCCGCTACGGCGCTGCAGCAGGGCCGCACCTGCTGCACCGAGTACGCCAGCCGGGGCTCGGGGCGAGGCGGCGGCTTGGCGGGCGGCTGACGCGGGGGCTTGGGGTTGGGGTCGCCCCACCAGTCCGGGTAGATGGGGTTGGTTGCCCCCTGGTTGTCTGCGGCGGTGCGGGGCAGAGTCGACGACGACGATGATGATGATGATGATGAAATCGCACACTAACGGGCCGCCAGCACAATGCTGCTCTGCCAGCAGCTGCAAATATCTGTGGGTGACAGGCAAGGATATACGACTTCATTTATTCAGGCAGGCAGCGACAGCGCACCCCGCCCACCGATGGAGCGCCGCAGGGGGCTCAGCGGCCGACGGGGCGGCGAGGGGAACCCGGTCGGCTCGCCTTCCCGCCACTGCGCCGGCGCCAGGGGCGCGACGACCGGGCTTCTGCGCCGGCGGACGCGCGGGGGCGCCCCGGGCCTGGGCGCCGAGGCGACGGCGGCAGCTGCCGCGGCTGCTGCCTCCCTTGACGTCCGGCCCATGCTCAGCAAGTTGGCCGTGCGGCTACCCTCCGCCGCTGCCGCCCTGGCGCCGAGTGCGGGCTGCCCGGCGGCGGCCAGCCCCGCTGCGGGCGGCTGCCTGCCCGCCGGCCGGTGCTCGTCATGCAGCGCTGGGGCGGGCCCCGGCAGCTGCCGTGGCTGCAGCGGCTCCGGTGCTGATGGCTGCGGCGTGCGTCGGACGGGCGTTGCGCGGGTGGATTTGCAGGAGGCACGTGCACGCGCGCGCACACTCGTGTACAGTTGCACTGAGAGCAGCTCAGCCCACGCAGCACCCGCACATATGCGTACTGCAGACTCGACATGTATATATTCGCAAGGAACATCGCAAGCGCACGGCACACGCACTCACTCATCCCCACCCCCACGACACACAAATACACACACACACACACACACACACACACACACACACACACTCTTTGACTCACACACACTCTCACATACACACACCTCAGCTGCGACGTCCAGGTCATCATAAACACCATCCAGGCGCTGCTGGAGGTCGAGCACCTGCCGCTGCAAGCGCGGTAGCGTGCGTTCGACCACCGCAGATGCCGCTCCCTGTTCCACGACAGTGCGCAATTGCTGTGGGCTGAGGCTCTGGCCGGGAAACTGTGCCTGAACCGATACAATGCCGTGAATCAGCATTAACTTGACAACGTCGGGCCACAGGTGCTGCGAGTACTGTTCCAGGAACGCCCGTATCGTCCTGTTTGTAAGAAGGCCGGGAGCCGCATCCTCAAACCACGCCACCCTTCCGCGGTCTGATGCCATCGATTGCATGGCTACGTCAGAACAGGAGCGCCGAGATCGCTGCCTGAATCAACAACAGCGTCAGACACGCAAAGCCATAAGTCAGATGGCTGCGCTCTATACCAAGAGCTTTATAACTTTCGAATGCTTACTTGTGGTACCGTATCTGCTGGTGTTACCGGTACAGAAGATGACTGATGTGATCACGCTGATAGAGTGCCCCTTTTCAAGCGCCCAGGGACCCAGAAACCACAGTCCACTGCCAATCAATTTCGCGTACAGCTAATTGCTGTAATAATTGACCCACTGCGGAGTTCTAGCAAGACGGCTACCATCATACAAATCCAGCGAAGCCCTGGCGTGTGATCGGACGAGAGGCGCCACTGAGGACCTTATAGGCAGTCATACATTCATCAGCGATGGGCCTGCATGGGCTACGGTGTACCCCACGCACTTCAGTGCCGTCATCACGCTATGCTGTGGCGGCGGGCGGCGGCGGGCGTATTGCTGCTGCCAGCGCAGCTGCGACAATAGCTGCGGCGGTGTGCATGCTGCGCACCACCAGCCCTGGGCCGCAGCCGTGGCACCTCCCCTGCGTGTGCAGTGCTGCCAGTGCGGATGGCGCTCAGGGCAAGGACCGACCCAGCAGCGCTGCGAAAAGGGGGCGCCCACGCAAGAGCATGGCAACGGACAGCGAAGGTGGCGGCGCCGACGGCACAGCTGCCCCGACGCCGTCCCCACGGAGGCGCAAGACTGCATCTGCAGCTTCAGACGCCGCGTTAAAGTCCGACGGCGGCAGCACCAAGCGCACCTGTCGTCGGGGCAACATTAGTGCGAGCGAGGCCGCGGGGCCGGTGGCCGCCAGCGGCGGCGAGGGCCCCGCTCCTAGCAAGCGGCGCCCGCGGGCGCCGACAGACACAGCTAGCCGCAGGGGTGCCGCCGCTGCCGCCGCTGCCGCCGCCGCCGACGCGCCGCCGTCGCCGCCTTCCGAGCAGCCCGCTCCCGCCCAGGGCGGCAGCACTCCAGCAGACCCCTCTCGTGCCTTGCCCAAGCAGGCCGGGTTTGCAGCCAGCGCGGATGCCACATACGACGACGGAAACGACAGCGATGACGCGTGCGGGATCTCATACGGCCAAGGCTTCGCCCCGGACGCACCCTTCGCGCTGCAGGAGCAGCGGGAGGCGTTGACTTCCATTGACCAGCCGTGCGGCGTCATCACCGTGCCGAGCGTGCACCCCGAGACTGGGGGCCGCGGCGGAGTCAGCGGCGGCGAAAGCGGGCCCGACACGCGCGCGGTCACGCCCGCCGCGGGCGGGGCCAGCGCGGACGGGGCGGCGAGCGGCGCCAATGGGGCCGGCAGGGGCGCGGACGGCGCGGCCGTTTCGCTCGAGGCGCGGGCAGAGACGCCCGCGGCGGCAGCGGCGGCGGCAGCAGCGGCGGCGGCAGCTGCGGCAGCGGCCGCGGCGGCCGCGGCCGCGGGTTGGCAGTCGTCGCCTCTCTCTGTGCCTGCGGTGGCGCCGCACGCGGAGGAGGGGGCGGGGCCGTTTGAGGTCCTGACAGGGCTGGCGGCCAGCAGCTGGACGGTCCGGTTCACAGGCACGCGGATCGCTGCCCATGGGATCGCTGCCCATGTCTTTCGCCTCCGCAGATTGCGGGGTCCAGACGGCGCAGGGCTATCGCAGAAGAGTAGTAGTGAACTGCATGCGCAAGGGCATCACTTGACTTGCACTGCGTTATCCCAGTGTGCTCCCACCTCCCTGAATGCGCCCACGCCGTTCACCAACCTGGGCGCGCGCCGCCCCCACCCCCCCACCCCACACACACACACACCGCCGCGCCCCCGAGCAGACAGCAGTGCGCTGCGCCTGCGGCGCAGAGCGGTGGTCGTCTGGGAGAACGCGCGCGGCCTGCCGCAGCGGGTGCTGATCGTGAAGAAGCTGGGCAACCGCGAGGCCAGCCGGGTCCTGCTGGAGATGGCGGCCTGGCTGGAGGAGCGCGGCGTCGAGGTGCGGCTGCCCAGTCCGCCCAGTCCGCCCAGTCTGCGGCGCGGGCGCGCGCCCGATCGGCGGCGGCGTCGCGAAACTGGGCGGCTGGGGGCTCGCACGAAGCCCATAAGGGGTCCGTCTTCATGCGTGGGGTGGGCTGTAGGCATGCCCGCGCGCTGCTGACACGAGCCTCAGTAGCCAACAGCACCTGCTCTGGCCCAACAGATGTCAGGCACTGGTCACGCGATCTGCCGCCCTTTGTGGGCCAGGTTCAGGGTGCTGAACGAAAGCAATCGCAAACTCCTCAACCCCAGGTGTTTGTGGAGCGCGCAGTTGCAGAGACAGAGTTCCCTCATCGCGGGCTGTCCACCTTTGACCCCGCCGACAGCCGAGTCGACTTTGCAGTGACGCTCGGCGGGGTGAGGAGCACACGCGGTAGCACGCCCCTTGTCTCCTCTCTGCATGTACACTCGCAAACGCTCTCAAGCGCTCTCACGCCGACTGCCCTGCGGCAGGCTTTCTTGGGGGGGCCGTCTGGGCGCAGCTGCAGCCGGCGAGCAAGCCTGGGCGGTTGCACAGTCCCCAAAGCCTTGCGCGCCGTCGTGCTACGCGCGTGTGATGCCATGCGTGACCGTGCGGCGCGCGTCCTGCCCGCCGCCCCCTGCCCAGGACGGCACCGTGCTCCACCTGGCCTCGCTCTTTGAAGAGGAGCCCCTGCCGCCGGTGGGGCCCGGGCCCGGGGCGCCGCATGGCGCTACTTCGCTGATGGTTTCTCGCATCGTGGCTCGCCAGCCAGCAAGCCAGGCTCGCTACTCCAGCCGCAGCTTGGCCAGACGCCCTGCTTGCTGCGAGGGGGCAGGGCCTTGACGCACACCTGCTTCTGAGATTTTTTGTTATTGAATCTTTATTATTTATTTATGATAAACAAATTATTGAATTCCCCGCCCTCTTCTCTTCAGGTGGTGTGCTTTGCCATGGGAACCCTTGGATTTCTCACGCCCTTTGACGCCAAAGACTTCAGGCGCGCACGGCGCGGCGCCGCGGCTCTCAATCATTTTTTGTGCCCTGGGCTCAGCCTCCCAGCCCCAACACCCCAGCCCCTGCACGTGGGCAGACGGGGCCCCCGCTCAATGCACAACTGCTCAACGCCCTGCTGGACGCATGAGCGCCGCTAATCAAACCGAACCGCCACCGAAATTTCACCGTCGGTGCCGTCAACGCCGCGCGGCGATGCTCCCTCCCTCTCGGCTCTCCCCCTGGCTTTCCACAGGGCGTGCCTGTCTCGTGTGCTGGCGGCCAACAGCCTGCCCCTGTACTGCACGCTGAGGACGCGCAAGCGATGCGAGGTGTACGACGCCGCCGGCGTGAAGACGGACGAGCACCACGTTTTGAACGACGCGGTGATCGACAGGTGGGCGTGATCTCGGTGGGATCTGGGCGGTTTGTTGGAAGATGGTGCTGCTGTACTCGTGCTTCAAGCAACTACCTATGCAAGCGACATGTTGAGCAGAGTACCAGGACATGGTGGCAAAGCAAAGCACCCAGGGTTGAATCGAGAGGTTGTGCTTTAAGCTGCCCTGCACACACCTAGCACGGACGCTCCTTTGTTCGGTGGAGCAACTGCGTCCAAACACTGGCCCCACGTCACCCTGCGCCACCCTGCATCACACCGCGTCGCCCCGCGTCACACCGTGTCACCCCGCGTCACCCCGCAGGGGCTCGTCACCCATGGCCCTTCTGCTGGAGATATACGTCGACGGCAGCCTCGTCACCGTGGCGGAGGGTGACGGCCTCGTCATCGCCACGCCATCGGGCAGCACGGCTTACTCCATGTCGGCAGGAGGTGGGGGCACTGGTGACGGGCCACCCCGGGTGACATTGCCGTACCCCTGCTGCCATCGACCTTGCCACCCGGCTGTCGCCCCACCCCCGCGAGGCGGGGGTCTCCGAACCGAACCGCGGCGGGCAACAAATTGCCAACAAGCATCCGCCGATCCCGCCGCCGCCGCCGCCATCCCGCAGGCTCCATGGTGGCGCCCAGCGTCCCCTGCACGCTCATCACGCCCATGTCGCCCCACAGCCTCTCCTTCCGGCCCCTCATCATCCCCGAGGGCTCCCTGCTGACTGTGCGCGTGCCGACCTTTGCCCGCAGCCACGCGCGGTGAGCGCGGGGCCCAAGTCCCCCAGGGATCTCCTTCCTTCCGCTCGCCTCTACTCTCCGTATGACTGGCTGTCTCTTGTCCTGCTCCTTAGCATGAATTTTCATGTTTGTGCGATCGCATATGCCTGTTTGCCAACCCCTCCAAACCGCCGGCCGCATCCCTGTGATCTTTTGCACACCCTGTGCAGTGCGGCGTTCGATGGGAAGCACCCCTGCCGCGTGCACCGCGGCGGCGCGGTGCGGTTCCGGACGTCGCTGTGCCCCCTGCCGCTGATCAACAAGGGGGGGATGGACAGCGACTGGTACGAAGGCATCACGCAGAAGCTCAAGTGGTGAGGGGAGTGATCATGACCCGGTTGGGGGCCAAGAGGGACAACAAGGGGGGGAGGGGGAAGGGAGGGAGGCGCACGACAGAGAAGGACGTGGAGAGGGAGAGGGGCAGAGGTATTGAGAGGTCGGGGAGCGAGGAGCGGGCGAGGGAGTTGGGAGGGAAAGTGTATGTGTGCATAGAGACCTTGACAGCGTATGCGTGGAGTGTTGCGATTGGACGACCGCAGGTATGCATGCCTGCATGTGCTTGCGCGCGTGAGTGGGTGCATGGGATGTTGATGTGTGCGCTTGGCGTACTAGTCAGTCCTGGACACCAGGCGTCACCAACACCAGGTGTCAGGCGAGGGGAGGGCGCGCCATGTACCCGAGCGACAGGGTCTGTGCACCTTTACATGAGCAGCTGCCTGCCAGCCCGCGCCAAGAGCAGCCGCATCACCCTCGGAAACCAACCATGCCATTGCTGACATCACCACTCAACAGGAACCAGGCCATCAGGGGGGCCCCTGCGCCTTCCGAGGAGTGGGAGCCCGAGCAGCACGCGCAGCAGCTGCTGCTGGACCGAGACCTGGGCCGCGAGCAGGCGCGGCACGCGGTGGCCGCGGCCGCGGCGGCCGACGCGGCCGCAGCAGAGGCGGCGGCTGAGGCGCCGGCGGCCTCGAATGGGCGCGCGCGCCGCAGGGGATTGTAGCGTCGTTGCAAAGAATTGTGTGTGGCTTTGACTGGGGGACTGGTGTGTGGTCCCAGGAGTGTGGAGGTGACGCTTGTTGTGGCCACTGGTTTTCCTGTACAACAGATAATGAGCCGACTCACTTTGCCGGCGTGTCTTTTCCAGACTCCCCTTGTGTGATGTGTACAAGCCTCTGATGCTGGGAACATGTGCACACACATTTGAGGTGCAGATGCTTGCATGTGGCGGCCTACTAATGTATTACCTTGAACCGCACAGGAGGTGTTGTGCCTTCCTGCAATAATGATGTACGTCAGACGTGTCGAGCGCTGCAGCCGCTGGCGAGGGCAAAGAAAGCCAATCTCGTAGTGGGCATGTATAGTATTACAGCGCGGTGGCTTTGAGCGCTGTGTGTTGCAGGCTCTTGAGATGTAATGGCATCCTTGCCATGTAATTTCGTCGTTGCTGCAATATTCTGAATGCCAGCGCAATTGCGATGGGCTGTAGGCCTCACAGCCAGGATTGCTGGTTAGTTCAGGGCAATTGCGCATGTATGGATGAACTTGAGGGTGGCGTGGCTGGCCGAGCCGCTGTGAGACCTCAGCAGTGCGGGGCTGTAGGGTACCGTGAGCGGCTGGACATGGGCCGCACCTCGCCCGCTTGAAGTGCAGCTGGACGGGCTGCACCCGGCCCGCTTAGCTGTGCGGAATGGGCACGGGGTTACCTTCTCAGGCCCCTATGCCCTGAATCCTGACTGTCAGTATCAGCGAGGAGGCAACTCACGGCCTGCGGAGGCCAGGGGATATGTTCCAGCGGTGGGACAGGATCTTGAGTTGCCATCATTTCATGATCATGGCAGCGTGGGTGCTGCTATACCTTCAACAGGACGTGATTGTTGTGGTGTTTGAGAATATATCATAACAGGCCCAGTCGCCCACGAACGACATGGACCAAGCGCTGACTCCAGCGTCTCCTGCAGGGCACCAGGGAAGTCCCAAAGTGTCAGCAGCAATGGGCACCGGGTGACACATCAGTGGGACCATACAATAGTACGGGCACAGGCTAGGCCTCCAACCACCGGTGCATAATACCGCGATAATGCCAAACGCACCTGACGAGCAGCACTGCGAATTCTGATCTTGCCACCTTCACGGTGTGCTGCTCGCACCCAGCTGACATATCTGAATACGCAGTGGTAAAACGCACAAAATCAAAGGGTCAGGGCCGACTCCAGGAGGCCGCGCACCTGGACGGTCAGCAGAGCGCAGGCGCGCGTGCTCCGCGGTAGCGAAATCGCGCGGGCCAGCCACCGAGAGCCAGTGCCCTGCGAATGCCGCTGCAATGGCTGCAAGCACAGCTGCCACGGCCGCGCCGGCGCTGCTGCCTGCAGGCACACCTCACGCCGCCGGGTGAGCCCCCCCTCGCAAGCGCACGACGGTGATTACTGCCTCGGATCCCAGCTGTCGGACCCTAAGCAATCCTGACCTCAGACTGCGCGGCTCCGCATCCGCGCACATGGATGCTACATGCAACCCCAAACGACTCCACCCAGCACGTGCGGTCGCCGCGCCCGCCGCATGCGCCCGCATGCGCCTCCCCGCCCCCGATGCGTGCGCCCCCCATGCAGTCTGGCTGGTGGTGTGGATGGCCGGCAGCATCGGCTTCCTCATCGGGACGAGCGGCACCTCCTCTCTTGTGTTCCTGCCCCCCTTCCTTGAACAGTGCGCCTGTGGGGCTGGCTTGCTGCCCGATCAACCAGCCGTGGCGACCGCCTTAGCCTCCACCCGCTCCTCCGAACTGCTTCGGCTTGAGCCACCTGGCTAAGGCCCCAAGACGCCACCCCGCCCTTGCGTGCCCCTTCTCGTCCCGCAGGAATTTTCCGGAGACGCACGGCCGCCTCCCCGACTACTCGAGCGCCTTCAGGGGGGACGTGTGCACGCTGTCTGACCAGCAGCGACTCATCGCCTTCATAGCCCTGCAGTCGTTCAGCGGCGTAGCGGGGGCGCTGGGGGCGTCCCCCATCACGCAGAAGCTCGGGCGCCGCGCGGGGGTCGCGATTGGTGAGGGCCTCGTCAGCCTAATGCGCCGCCTGGGCTGATGACCGCCGCGACGGCGCGCCAGCGCTGCATGCGCTTCGGTGCTGTGCCCTCATTACGAGAGCCTGGCTGGACCACGCGAGAGGGAGGGCACGGCGGGGACGTAGGTGCAGGGCGCTGTGCGCGGCATGCGTGTTTCCCTCCCTTTCCCCCTGACATTTGGCTCGACCCAAGTGCTCGCGAGCGTGTCGGGGCTGCGCCGCAATTTGACGCCGTCTCCCTGTCGCCCGTGCCCTTGCATACCCCTCAACGCTGGCATGCACACCCTCGTACATCAACACACACACACACACACACACACACACACACACACACACGCCCTTAATTGCATGCACATACGTTGCCCGCCCCCGCTCCTCAAGCCCCCCGGGCTGACTGCCTCCGCCATCCCTCCGTTCGGCCGCCCGCCTGCAGGCGTCGCGTGCTTCGTGTTAGGGGAAGTCCTCATGGCGGCCGCAGTGGCGCAAACAATGGCCTGGCTCGCCCGCGTGTGCGACGGGTTCGCGAGCGGCCTGCTGCTGCAGGCGGTCACCTTGGAGGTGCGCTCGCGTGTATGAGGGCTCGTCGTAAGCGGCCGCATGCAGACGGCCTGGGCGGGGTGCGCTGCATCCTGGACCACTTTCCCAACATGGCAATCGCAGCGTCAACCCCACACATTATCTCGTGGCTTAAAGGTGCATGTGCCCACCCACACCCTAAGTAGGTTGTTGAGGTGTCCCTGCCCGCCACCCGGGGTCAGTTGGCCGCCGTTGTCACCATCGGCAAGGGGCTGGGCCTGATGTGCACAGGGCTGCTGTCGTTCGGCTTCGGCGGCCTCAAGAACCACAGCTCGTGGCGGCTCGTCCATGTTTGGTGCGGCGGGGCGCCGCGCACCCTGCACCGATCAGGGCGTGGCTTCGCCCTGCAGTCCCGCCAACGGCCAGCCATGCGCGGCCGGGTCTTCTGCAGGGCTGGATGTGAGCGCGCGAGGGCCTCGACGCAAAGTGCGAGTTCCTCGGGGGGCCGTGCCCCCGGGTTGAGCCGCCGCCCCTGCGTGGCAGCCCACTCGCGTCCGCGCCCCGTTCCCCGGGGCCGCTGGCCCATGCAGGGCCCTGTGGCCGGCGCTGGTGGTGCTCCTGTGTGTCGTGTGGATGCCCGAGACGCCGGCCAGCCTCATAGGTTTGAGGGGTCTTGGACGGACGCATGACGAGCTAGACGAGGGCGCGCTCGGGCAAGGGGCAAGGGGACGACGAATGATGAAGGGAGCGCACAAGGGAATGCTTGACAACATTGAAGCGGAGGGTTCCCGGCTGGTGCTGCGACGCCCACTGGAAGCTGATGCCCTGTTCCCCAGCCCGCCGGCCGCACCAGCTCCCTGCCTGTCCTCATACCCCGCGGCTGTGCGGCCCCGCCCCTGCGCCGCCGCAGAGCGCGGGAAGATAAACGAAGGGCGCCAGGCGCTGCAGCAGCTGCGGGGGCCATGGTGTGTGGGGCACCGGCTGTCGCCCCCTGCCAGACGCTCGTGTAAATGAGCGCTGAACACTCAGCATAATGGCTCTCGCGATTTTGCATCGACCCATGCTCTCACTCCACAGCTGCGCCTGTATGAAGTCCACGCACAACACCTACCCCGACCTTCAAACACACACACACACACACACACACACACACACACACACAACGTACCATGTCACCCACTCTGTGTCCCCAGGAGCCCCCACATCGACCGCGAGCTGGGCCACCTCGTCAACGACGCAGACCTGCAGGTGAATGCCGCCCATCCCATCTCTTCCCTTCTTCCCTCCCCTCACATGGCCTTCTCTCCGTCCCGCCGGGCTCACGCATGCACCAAGCTCGCCCTCTCGTGCCGTGTGCCCTCCTTCCCAAACGGTGCTTGCCCCGTGGTCCCCCTGCCCTTACCGTCCGGTCGTTGTTGGCCATGCCACGGCAGGCCGCACGTCCCTAAGCCCCGCCCCAGCACCCCGGCCGTCAAGCCCTGCTTGTTCATGCGCCAAGCCCTGCTCGCGGGCGCCCATTCGCCCTCCCTTGCCCGCAGGTCACCGGGACCTGCCAACGCTGGCGTCTGCTGCTGCGGCCGCAGCACGTGCCTTCGCTGATCGTAGGGGTCTTCCTGGGCGGGGCGCACGCCTGGTCGGGCAGCCTGCGGTAAGCGAGCACGCGCGGGCGTGCGTGGGCTGTTGCAACCCCCGTTGCAGATTCAGGGGCCACTCCTGCGCGGCCCGGGGCGCAGAGCCGGTGCCGGCTGGCGCCCGGGCCGTGGCTTTGTTCAAGAGCGGCTTGGTCCCGCCTCTCAGTTTGTTGCTATGCATGTGCATGCCCTTTTCGTAGGGCCCCTTGCCCAGCGCCTTCACACCCTCCCACCTGCACATGCATGCACGCGCGCAAACAAACACTCATCTACGCACCTAAGCATCCACTTGCACGCACGCGTGCGGGCAAAATCTTGCACGCAAACATGATGACGTCCTGCCGAACCCTCCCCTCGCTCGCGTCCCCGCCGCCTTCCCGGCAGCTTCTTCGCCTTGCCCGTACTAATGGGCACGACCCTCAGCCTGCAGCAGGCCGACATGCTGGCATCAATCATCATAAACGTGGCATTCCTCGCAGGTGGGGGCGTGCGCTGATGCGCATCTGGTCGGACCCACGGGTAGTGCGCCTGGGACAGCGCAGCGGGAGAGCCGGCGCCGATGTTGGATTTGGGTCCTTGGTGTGCCAGGACCAAACGGCGGCTGAGGTGGTGGTATTTGGCTGCCCACACGGGCACAGCCAAATCACCCTGCTCACAGGCAGCAGCCTGCGACGCTCAGCCCCCTCGATCCCTCCCTTCCGCCCCTCAAAACCTGCCTAGGCGCGACCATCGGCTGCCTCCTCATCGACCGCGCCGGCCGGCGGCCGCTGTTCATGGCCGGCTGCGGCGGCGTCGGCGCCGCGTTTTTGGCCGCGGCGGCGGTGGTGGTGCGGCTGGACTCCGCGACGATCCGACAGGCCAACAGCGTGTCCTGGGCGGCGGGGGCGGTTTTCGCCCTCATGTTTGTGCGCGGCCTCGGCTTTGTTTCGACTGGGTTTGGTGTTTTTGGTTGTGGGTGGGGAAGCCGTGAGTGCGCGTGTGGATGTACATGTACTGGGGGGAATGTGTGTGTGTGTGTGTGTGTGAAGTGGTGTGCGTGTGTGTATGTGTATGTGTGTGCTTGTGCGTGTGCGTGTGCGTGTGCGTGTGCGCGTGTGTGTGTGGGTGTGGCTGTGGGTGTGGCTGTGGGTGTGCACGCACGTGCGCACGGACTGGCAACAGGCGCACTTCGCTTGGACACGCTTATGACAACTGCGTGTGGGCTGCCCATGGCATCCTGCACACATATTCCAGTTCGACCGCTAAACACCTGACTTCAACGGCTGTGCGCTGTCCCACCCTCCCTCCCCGCCCGCCCCCGCTTGCGCACCCTCCAACTAGCTGGCGGACGCCCACCTGCACTCTCGAGGGCTGCGCCCCTGCCCTTGCGCACTGCGCTGACCGCGTGTTTGTTGCCCACAGCCCACAGCCTGCTCTCCGCCCCGCGTCCTGCTGCCCCTGCGCAGCTCTTCGTGGGCATGGGCTCTGCAACTGTCTTCTTTGTGTACGTGACCGAGACCCACAGCCTGGCCACCAGGGCCATGGGGACAGGCTTGTGCATGGCTTTGATGCTGGTGATGCAGGTGGGGAGGGCGCGTGTTCCCGATATCAAAGCAAGCTTGTGAGGGCAGTCGACAGGTGCATGGGTGTGCACGTGTGCATGCACGTGCACGTACACCTGCACACATGTAAGTGTGCACACAAACAAATACGCACAAACACACACACGAACACACACACACACTCTCTCTCTCTCTCTCTCTCACCCACACACGCGCGCACACACACACACACGTGCTCATACACACGCGCACACACACACACACACACGCACACACGCACTCTCTCTACCACACACGCACACATGCACACAAACGCACGCATACACACACACACACACACACAGAGACTGATACACAAACAAGCCCTCTTCCCCCTCCCTTCCTTCCCCTCCACTCTCAGGGCATCGCAAGCTTTGCCACCCTCCCCCTGCTCTGCTGGAACCCCCGCACAGTCAACCTGGTGATGGGCTTTGCCTTCATGTTCCTGGCCGTCCCGTTCGGCCACTTCTTCATGATAGAGACCACAGGCATGCCACTGGAGTCGATCCCTGACCAGTGGGCCGCCCACTGGTTCTGGGGCGCCTTCTTTGGCCGCGTCATGCGGACGCCCCCGAAGCCGGCGGCGAGGGCGCTGCTGTGGTGCCTTGGACGGCGAGGGGCGCGGCGTGCGGGCGGCGCCGGCGGCAGGGGCGGCGGTGGGCCCGAGGCGCTGGCGGCGGGAAGCACAGTCGCGGATGGCAGCGTGACAAAGCAGCTGGGTGTGGAAATGCAGATGTCGGAGGTTGAGCAGGCGGTCGTCGCGGCGGCGGCTGGCGCGGCCGCGGCTGCTGCGTGCGCCGCAGCGGCGGCGGGAGACGCGGGATCGGCGGCGGTGGCGGCAGAGTCGGCATGTGTCGATTTCAGAGCAATGGCGTCGGCGGCCGCCGCCTCGGCCGCGGGCGCCGCCGCTGCCGGGGACGCGGCCGCGGCAGCTGCAGCTGCCGCGGCGGCCACGGATTTTGATGCGACGGCGGCCGCGCTGGAGGCCGATTTTGGGGTTGCTGCAGCTCTTGGAGGTGCGGAGGGCGGCTGCTTGGAAGCTGGGCAAGCAGGGCATCACGAGCTTATGACGAGGCATATTGATTGACGGACCTCAACACTGGCTGGTGCTGTGATTGCGTGGGCGTTCAAGATGGGGGTTGTTGGGAGTTGTTGGCCTCTTTGGTCAAGCAAGTGCACTGAAAAATCGATCAGCATCGCGTCCACGCCTCTGTCAAAACTTGTTCCTTGCTGCTGAAAAAGTCATGCCTCACTCGGCACTTTTTTTGTGTTGCTCCAGAGTTGAGCTATTCCACAAACTGGCGGGCACTTATTTTATGTCCTGGGCGGGCGTCGCTTAGGCACCGCTGCCGCTGCGCACGATCAATGCACCTGCCACCTCAAAAGAACACCAACACGGTAGCAACCTTCCTTCGTTGAGCTGACATGGCTTGACATGTTGGTCAGTTCAAAACTGACTCATTGTAAATTTCTTTTGCGGTCTGCTCGTGGTTTGTTGTGCAAGATCATTGAGCTCATTTACTACTGCCTAGATCTTTGCCGTATTCCAGCAGCAGCAGCAGCAGCACCAGCAGCAGCAGCAGCAGCAGCAGCAGCAGCAGCAGCAGCAGCAGCAGCAGCAGCAGCAGCAGAAGATTACAAGAGGAGCGGTGCCCCTCCCTGGCACAGTCAATCCCGGGCACCTTGCAGCGTGGCACCGAAGCCGCCACACATTGTCAGCGCGCCCGGGCTGCTGCAGTTACACTTGAGTTTAACGATGCCATGGTCGATGGTGAAAGGCAGGATTTATCGTGTTGGGGAATTTGTGATTGGGGCCGCATGCCCCAGCAAGGATTGGAACTGGCCTACCAATTGACACCAGAAGACCACGTGTGTGTGTCACAGGGCCCAGCTCGGCAGCCCCCGCATTCGACGCCAGCCGCCGCCGTGCCCGGCGGCTCTCAGGGCTGCTGCTGTGGGGGCTGCTGCTGCTGGCCCGGCAGCCTGACAAAGGGGGAGAAGAAGCGCTCGAAGAAGAGGGGCCGGTCGTTGTTGAACTTCGGGTCGTCATCAGACATGACTGGGACGACCTGGTGACGCGGTTGGAGGGGGCGCGACGGTCAGGGGGGGCCTGCAGTGAGTCAGTGGGTGGAGGGGGATTGGACACTTCAAGGGCCATCACTGTGCATGTTGGGGGTCGGGGGCGGGGACGGTGGTTGGGTGGGGAAGGGGGGCCGAGGGGGCTGTGTGCGACCGTACGAGTGGGACGGCATCCGAAGTGGATGTTGGAGCGACGCAGCTCGCCTGGTCAGAAGGGCGGGGACTTCGCGCTGCAAAAGCTGGGAAAAAAGAAACTTGGGCAGAGGGCAGGACGCGGCCCACCGTCCCAGACACCTCGCCAGCCGCGGACGACTGAGCGCAAGTGCACCCATCTCGCCGGGGAGGGGGCTTCGAAGCACGCCCCGAGCTGCCCCCGCGCACCTCCCACCGCAGCGCCTTTCGTAGCTCCTCCAGCCGCGCCCGCGCCTGGTTCCTGCGCGGCCGCGGCCGCGGCCGGGAGGATGCAAAACCTTGAACAGGGTTTAGGGGCCAGGACCCGTGTATCTGCAGCCAGCAGCCGCCACACCCATCGCCAGGCGGGCAACACCGTGGCAGAACGCGCGGCAGCGGCACAGGCGGCGGCCGTGACAGGCCGCTTCGCCGCTCTTCGCCCTGAGCCGGCGGCTGCCACTTTGATCCCTTCACCCACCTCTCGAGGACGACCCCGCGCTCGAAAGACAGCGCCAGCCGGCCCCGCTCCAGCCCCGGCTCCGCGCGCGACGCGGCGCGCACGTTCACGATGTCGTCGCCTGCGCGTGCGGCGGCGCGTCAGCGCCATCGCAAGCGCAGACATGCACACGTCGCAAGCTTGCGAGGAGGTCTCGTCCCAGGATTCTGTTTGCGGGCGCGGCCCCCACTCTGAAGGCTGGGGCTCAACTCATTTCATCTCATTCGTTTGAGGGACGGCCTCTCACCGCGCGGGAAGATAAACTCTGCATCGATGATCTGAGAGGGGTCCACCTCCTGCAAGGAAGATCCGCCGCCGCCGCCGCCGGCGCGGCGCGGGGCCGGGCCGGCCGGCGCTCCTCCGATCGCCGCGCCGCTGACGCCGGCGGCAGGGCCGCCGGTGCCGCCGGCGTTGTCTCCCCGCGGCGCCCGGGTCGCCGCCGAAATCGCGGCCTGCGCCTCCCTCGTCCCCTGCTCCTCATCCCTTCCGCCGCTGCCGTCCGCGCCCCCGCCCTCGCGCCCCGGCTCCGCCTCAACCCCTGCAGCCGCGGCCGCGGCGCTCCTGGCCGCGTCGTCGTCGTCGCTACTGCTACTGCTGCTACTGCTGCTGCTACTGCTGCTGCTGCTGCTGCTGCCGTCCTCCACGTAGCCCTCCGGCAGCCCAAACACCACCCAGACATACTCAGAGCCGTCCTGCGGGGGGCAGCAGCATTGAAAGAAAATCGAAATACAGCCAGAAAAATGACTTATTCGGAGCAAGGATGCTTGTTTCGGTCCCCGCATGGCCATGCAACAGCGGAGCCGACACCATTTGCAGCAACGGCGACGCGTCACCAACCGCTGGCAGGCTACCGCGTCGGCGCTATGATTCTCCGCCCACGGGGGGGTGGGCACTTGACGTATGCATATGCACGCGTGCACACACACGCACGCACCTCTGTCGTGTGCCTGTCGACCAGCCGGCCGTCGAAAGCCACAAAGTCGGCCATCACCCGCTGCCGCGGCCGCTCCGGCGGCGGGCGGCCGGAGATCGTGGTGAGCGTCGTGCCCATTATGAAGGCGGCCGCGTCGCCGCGGCTGATGCCGACAGAGCCATTGAGGGCGTCGCGGCTGAGGCCGGGATTGTAGTAGCCGCCGGTGGCGACCTGCGGTCAAAACGGTCAAAGCGGGAGAGAGAGGGGGATATTTTAGGGGGGGGGGAGATTGAGGGCCAAGGGCCCGATGCTGCACGTTCGGCGTTGGAGAAGCTCGTTGATGAAGCCAGAACGAATATATACAACTCTCAGGATTTGAAAGGATGGTACAGCGATTCGGTTGCTAGGGGGCTGCTTGGCGTTGTGAGCTTGCAAGTGCGAGGGGTGTGTCGAGAGCCGACGGTGAGTACCTGGATCAGCTTCTCGATAGCTGCCGCCCTGCCGCCCTCATACTCCCAGGGGTTGTAGAAAAATCGGACGTCATCGCTCATGGAGGACGCGCAGCTGATGGAATCGATGCCGCAGTCATTGAGGGTGCCGCCCACCTCCCCCACCTCAGCTGGGGGCGGGGGGATGGTGGAGGCTGCCGCCGCGGCCGCGAGTGGCGCGCCGGCCACGGCAACGCCCGAGAGCAGCGCGGAGCGCCGGTGGAGTGGCAGGGGTTGCGGCGCCTCAGGGCCAGGGGCAGGAGGCTGTTCGGGCGAGTTGCTGCTGGCGGGGCTGTGCGCAGCACGGGGCGCGAGGTGAGGTCGTCGCCCCTGCCCGCAACACGCCATGTCGCCACCAGCTATGGCGCTGGCGCGCCGCCATTGGGATAAGAGCATCTAGGATAGTCGAGTCGCAGGTCTCAAGCAGCGCCAATGTGCTTACAAGCGGGTTGGACGAGTGGCGGAGACCGCTAATGTGAGTGTGTATCCGGTAACATTACACTTTTTTAAAGTTTATGTCTCAAGTTTTTGAGCCATTCCTCGCGGCGTACGGAACACTTATTGGGTAAATGATCACGTCGCGATCTGGACGATCATGACGCGGTTGCTAGTGCACAGCATATACATAGCCCTGATATTTGCCAGTGTATGTTATGGCCAGCCATCCCGCCCGCGCGTGGCCGTGATCGGCGCTGGCGTCGGCGGTGCAGCGGCGACGTCCTTCCTGCTCGAGCTCCATGACACCGCCCATGTCTCAGTGTGAGAGGACATTCAATTTTCAAACGACGCATGCTCAATTGCCTAGTCTTATTGCAGCGCACTCGACCGTGAGCCGCAGCAGCACCCATTACCGCACGCAGTTACAGCGGCCCCATCCCCGACCTCGACACAGCTCCCCGCACGCCCCCTCGTCCCCGCAGCTTCGAGCGCGGCCTTGCCCCCGGCGGCCGCACGCGCGAGATGACATACGGCGGCGGCCCGCCCCAGGAGCTGGGAGCATCCATCATATACGGCGCCAACCAGTTGGTCCTTGGGCTCGCCCTCACCCACAACCTGACAGTCCAGCCGGTGTCGGACAGCGGGTCAGGCGCCGTGGGCATCTACGACGGCCGAGGCATCGTGCTGCAGCTGGTGGGCGGCCGCGCGTGCGTGGCATGCGACAGCGCCGCCCAGCCCGCAAGCATCGGGGGCGGCGCTGCGTACGAGGACGCGCCCGCGTCCTCTGACGGACGGCGCGCTGTTTGGATTTCCTGGGGGCTTGCCGCGGGAGCGCGCACCACGCGGGCGCGCAGCAGCAGATGCTGTCGCGGCCGGCAAGCGGGAGGGTTGCCAAGCCACGCCTCTCCTTGAAGCGACAGACCCGGCCGGCGCATCGGCCCCAAAGGCGCCGCTAGGCGGCCTCGACTCGTGATACTGAGCTGCCTGCTGTCCTTCCGCGCGCCACCCAGCGCACCCGCCGG